AATAGGAAAGGTTCTAATTAAATCTATTTGTATCTGCTAATATATGTATGTAATTCCATTATTTATTATAATCTCTCTTTCTCTGTGAACGAAAGATTGTAAACTTTAAGCACTGTTTCTAATAATTGAATAATTAAAATAAAATTTATGCATTTAATATAATACAAACGTCATAATTTGTGTATGTTTTAACAGTTGTAGATAAGTATTTTAATAATTTTATTACATAAATTAAGAATATCTTGATATTTATTAAAATTATCTCAAGTAAATCATTATGAATTTATGTGCTATATATTTCTGTATTTTCTAAATATCTAATATAAATCTGATTAATGAAGAAACAAATTGCATATTTATTGTATACACTAATTTAATGTTAACATTAAATACTTTTTATTATATTTTATGTATTTTCAAGTTTCAAATAGTCTGTAATTTGCTATTTTCTGCATATATTTCCTTAATATAGAATTCATTATTGCTTTTTCACACTGAGAAGAAATTTGTTCATTTAACTAAAATAATTTAATTTGTCTTTCTTTCGATGAAGATGTATGTATTTAAATCAAACATATTATATTTGATTTAAATACATACATTTTCCAACGAAATAATGACGATTAAATTAATTTAATCAAATGAACAATATTTGTTCTCAATACAATTAAGTATCATTTTTTTAATGTAAATTCACAATCACTATTCGTGTTTTTTTTAACTATTCCGAATGAAATCCTAGAACATGTATTTCAAACACAGTCGTGATAAAAATAATCAAATCCAATTCATGATCTTATCAAATTAGCACCCGACCTCGCTTCGTTTCACTGTTCAAAATTCCCTATATGCAGTATGGTTGTTATCAGGGAAATCCCTCCAATGGGGCTTCAGTCGCCCACCAACCCTCAACGAGTCGATATCGGACGACGCAGCTGGCGAAAGAGTGTCGCGTCGCGACGCCGCGCGTCGTTCCGCGATTACCGGTATTTTGTTGACGGCTTTGTGAGTGTATTGTCCAGGACTCCGTTGTGTTTCTTCACAATTCGCAGATCGTTCCTTGAGAATTCTTGCCTGAGAAAAACGAGACGTCGCTGTCGCCGCTTGTGCCATCCGCCCGTTTCCGTCCGCCGCGCGGTAATCGATTAGGAATCGCTTCTATAATTCATCCCCCTCGTAGGTCAAGTTCTGTGTATTCTATGTGAGAACTTGTTATCCAATTCATTCTTCCTGTTTCTCGTCTTATTCCTCTGCTTCGTCTTCTTCTTGTTCGAATACTTTGCATTCTTCGATTATTAAATATGGAACTCGAATGCGATGAAATATAAATGCTAGGAAGATATTATAGGTTTCGGAAATCGGATATGCGACGATCGAAGATATTCAAATATGAATGAAATTAATAAGGGATATATTAACGGGGGATTAATAAAAGATATATTACAATATTTTTCTAAT